TGCGGCGCCATGCTGATAGACCAAAAAAGGATTTAAGGATTATGGAGGCCACTGTGCTCTTAGGAACCTTAAATGCAGCAGAAATTTTTTTTGTAACCCTGGCCAGATCTGTGCCTTGCCACAATTCTGTCTCTGAGCTCTTCAGGCAGTTCCTTTGACCTCATGATTCTCATTTGCTCTGACATGCACTGTGAGCTGTAAGGTCTTATATAGACAGGTGTGTGGCTTTCCTAATCAAGTCCAATCAGTATAATCAAACACAGCTGGACTCAAATGAAGGTGTAGAACCATCTCAAGGATGATCAGAAGAAATGGACAGCACCTGAGTTAAATATATGAGTGTCACAGCAAAGGGTCTGAATACTTAGGACCATGTGATATTTCAGTTTTTCTTTTTTAATAAATCTGCAAAAATGTCAACAATTCTGTGTTTTTCTGTCAATATGTGGTGCTGTGTGTACATTAATGAGGAAAAAAAAATTACCTAAATGATTTTAGCAAATGGCTGCAATATAACAAAGAGTGAAAAATTTAAGGGGGTCTGAATACTTTCCGTACCCACTGTATATATATATATACACACTGAATTGGTCCCTTCAGCCATTACTAACAGCAAAAAAGACCATCTAGAGTCTGTTTCTCTTCTCTCACATATCCTCAGAGGGCAGTTTTCAGTGTGCTCTCTAGCATTAATCAGTCTGGAGGGGAAAGTGTGTGTGTGTGTGTGTGTGTGTGTGAGAGAGGAGGAGGAGGAGGAGCCGATAGATGTAATTGGCTCTAAGCTGATATTCCAGCACTACCTCATCTCACCTGAGCGAAGCGATCTCTCTCTAAAGCTTTCCTAAATGAACCTTAATACACACTCACTAAAATCCTCCAATCCCCCAAGAGCCATACACAGCATCAGAACCACTGTGTGAACACAGGCACACACACACACACTTACTACACGCGTCACAAAAAAAGGAACACATTAATTTATTTCACATCAAAATATTGAATAAATCAGTATATAAATACATTATTTGGGAGTCTGTATAATTACATCGCACTCAATTACGTACATTCTGATGTAAGAGTAAGATTTATTTAAGTGTTTTTTTTAAAGGATAAAATGTCTCTTAAATTTGTTTTTGAAAGAAAACTGAATCTAATTGAATGAAAATGGAACCCCTACTGGGAGAAAAACACTAAGAGTTTGGGTATTTTTACAAACTTACTTGAGAAGCAAAATACTACAACATAATAAAAATAGTATTACAATATTGCAGTGCATTATAGTAAATAAAACGTAAATAAAATTATTTTTGTCCCATAAAATTATCTAAGCATTGAGATTAATGGGATCAATTAACGTGAGAAGCATAATAATAATAATTATTATTATTAGTAGTAGTAGTCATGGGCGTTGCTATGGGCCATTTTTAGGCGGGCTATAGCCCAATATGGATTAGCTCCATAAACTGTACACGAATTTGTGACCGCCTCAGTGAGTCCCCTTTAAATTTCATATGAAAATGGCAGCAGACTTCGATTGACTCCTCGCCGTCTTTCAGCACGCTCTTTTGCAATCTGCAGACCGCGGCGGCGCAGAGCGAGAAACAGAGTACAAGGTGTGTGTTTATCGATAGATTGTTATAAAATCTGCATCTGTGCAGTTCTGTTCTTTAAATACAGTTTACAAAGTATCAATCGGTTCGCTGTCTTCACCCCTCATCACACCACAGTTGTTTCCTCCAGTGAAAATGAAGCACATATGAACGCATACACTTTATAACACGATCAAGTTGCAATTATCATTTGAAAATGTAACTTTCAATGGAATACATTTTCCAGTGCATGTGGCAAAGAGGTTTGCATACTTGAGCTAAGGAAAGAGGGTTGTACTAGAAATGCAAACAGTAAATTTTGTGTGTGAACAGTAAACAGGTGTGTGTGTGTCTGTGTGTGTAAGATCATGAAGACTTGTATTTAAAGAGTGAAAAATTTAAGGGGGTCTGAATACTTTCTGTACCCACTGTAAATTTAGCATACCACCCCTATTAGTCAAACATTTATCTTTATTTAAACAGGAGATAAATACAAATATGAGACATTTCGGCTTGCTGCCTTCATCAGTAGGCGCGTTTCCATTACAGATTTGCGCAAAACTTTGGCGATATTTTATAAATGTCGATAAAAAAGTATTGCGAAATGACGGCGTTTCCATTAACCAATGTTATGAGACTTAAACGTAACCTTTTGCCTCTCGCGATAAGTCATGGCAATGGATTTTGGTGGGATTTTGACGGATTTTGGCTATATTTATTCAAAGGAGGCTTATGCGTGTATCTTTACAGAAGCAGCAAAGAGAGCCGCTTCAGAAATGTGTGGCGCGGCTGGAATAAACCATAGACTGCACAAAAACATAAACACAAGCACTGAGTGGCCGCAATAAGCTTCAGTGACCGTATCAGAGCCACACTGCACCGCAGACGTGTGCAGTGTAAACTGTCTAAGCATTAATGGTAGGGAAAGCCCCTTATACTGGAGAGCGGCCACTTATGAAGTGTTTCTTGGAGGTTATAGTACATTGAAGAATGATCATATTACTTTTTACATACGCCATGTGACCTGTAAATGCGAAAAAAAAGCCGTTTCCATTGCAGTTTTGCGAATTATTCCTTTTTCGCATTGCCTGAAAAACCACCTCATGTGAGCGTAAAAACGTTTTTGCGAAATTGACGCATTTCCATTAGGCGTATTTTCAATTCGCAATTTCAATTTGCGCAATTTGAAGGGTAATGGAAACACGCCTAGTGTGACAAGATCTCAGTAACTCAATGATTATATGAAGACCAGCAATGACCCACAGGTGGTGGTAATTAGGTTTCCAGATTCACATACTCCAGATCAGTTCCATCTATAACAGATTTCAACAAAAAACTTAAACAAGAATCAATGGGGACAATAACACGTCAGGCAAAACCATGCCGTTCATACACATTGCTCCCCCCCAAAAAAAATGTTACAAGAAACACGAAAGATCAAAATCCTCATTTAAACCCAAAGGTGACATGGTCTTTAAATAAAACATCCAAGACGCCTCTCTTTGTAAGAGTCTTTTATCAATATCTCCACCCCGGTGAGGATTCATTATTTTCTCAATTCCTATACATTTCAGTTGTTCAATACTATGATTATATTCAATAAAGTGTCTGGCCACTGGAGAAGTATCGTCACGTCTACGAATTGCTGATTTATGTTCACTGATTCTAATTGTCAACGGCCTTGACATTTTTCCAACATACATCAATGGACATTGACATTGAACTAAGTATATTATATTATTAGTAGAACATGTGATACAAGATTTGATGTGGTAGCCTATGTTTTATTCATCAGTAAACGTGTAAACTTTTTGCATTGTAATATTGAAGAACATGTACAATTTCGACATGGAAAACAACCTTGTATATATGTTTTCTATCACGCACTACATCTGATCTAACTAGCATATTTGTCAAATTTGAAGATCTTTTGTAAGTAGACATCGGAGGTTGTTTGAAAACATCTTTTAAAGAAGGATCTGAAGCTAAAATGAACCAATATTTATTTACAATAGATTTAGTCTGATGGCTATTTTTTGTGTAGGTTGAAATATAATTTACTGAAAATTGTTTCTTCTGTTGTTGTTGTTTTTTGTTTTTTTTGATAGTTCAATAACTGAAATCTGTCAGATTTTTTTTTACTTTTTCAACTGCTGAATGAAACCAAGTTTGTGGATAACCTCTTGAACAAAAACAATTCTTCAAAATGATTGACTGTTTCTCAAATTCCTCTTCTGAATCACAAATACGTCTAAGTCTATAGAGTTGACTTAATGGTAACCCTTTTTTCAGAGGCAGTGGGTGATGACTATCAGCAGACAATAATGTATTTTTTTTCTGTTAGTTTACGGAACACCGTGGTAGAGAACTTGTTTATTTTTGATATAAACACATCTAAAAAATGAATTGATAAATAGTTTTCAAATGAAAATGTAATAGAACCTAATCTTGAATTCAAAAACTGTACAAACACAAACAAACTTAATATAAGAAATCGGTCTTTGCACCTACAAAAGCTGGGAGAGCGCGGTGAGTGTTGAGATTGTTCCTACAAGATAAAAATAGATTTTGATAACTTACACTTTTTTATTAGTATTATTTTTGTTCTTTTTGAATAACATTTATTTATTTTGTATGTTTAAAGTATATTTAGATATTTACGGAAGCCTGACTGCAACTTTAAATATCCTAATTTGGACTTTTCTGAAAAGGTAGGTTTACATCACATATTGTGATTTTGTTTTTCAACTGTAGCCATTTCTCATGTAAAATAATTTTAAATCATATTTAAATAAAATAGATAAAATTAATAATTTTATGTTTCTTACAAAGTGTAAGTGTATACGTATTTACTATGAGGAAAAAACAGACATTTATAAAAAGGAAAATAACATCTAGATGATAGACAGACAGACAGAGAGATAGATAGATAGATAGATAGATAGATAGATAGATAGATAGATAGATAGATAGATAGATAGATAGATAGATAGATAGATAGATAGATAGATAGACAGATAGACAGATAGATAGACAGACAGATAGACAGATAGACAGATAGACAGATAGATAGATAGATAGATAGATAGATAGATAGATAGATAGATAGATAGATAGATAGACAGATAGACAGATAGATAGACAGACAGATAGACAGATAGACAGATAGACAGATAGATAGATAGATAGATAGATAGATAGATAGATAGATAGATAGATAGATAGATAGATAGATAGATAGATAGATAGATACCCATGTTTACCCCTAAACCTAACCTGAAAATCTGACAGCAATGTCGTTCCAACGAGGATGTTGATTCATGAACGCTTGTACATCACATTAATCCTTATATCACCAGCCGTGTCAGGGGCCGGTCAGCATTAACTAACAACCTACATCCTATGACTCACCACAGTAGGGTCCCTCGTCAGAATGGTCGGCACAGTCCCTCCAGCCGTTACAGATTCGATCTGGCGGGAGGCACACAGACGTGTCATTGCCACATGGGAACTTCGGAGGCTTACAGATGGACACTTCACACCCCTCCTCATCCGATTGGTCCTCGCAGTCGATGTCTCCATCGCACACCCAGTCCTTACTAACGCATTTCCCTACGGTGCAGAGAAAAACAAATGTGTTTCAAAGGACTCTTTTTTTTTTACATCATTAACTCTCTGCGTCATTTCTCTACAAAGCTATCTGCTTTCTGCACACTATTTCTTTAACCACATTCGAGATATGGCATATAATTTCCCATAGGGCTACATACGGTTTCAGAGTGCTTTTTGGACCTTGGTGTTTGCCATATCATTAGCGGTAATGAGGTACATAATCATTGTTTTTATAAATTTATTTTTACGTAAAAAAAGAGAGCTTTCTAAAGAGTATAAGGGGGAAAAAGCAATGTTAAAAAGCTACTGTTAGCGAAAGTGTTTGGGAAACTGACAGTTTGAAAGTTTTGAATGGTATTTTGAACGGTATTTTTGAATTTTCAAAAAATGTAATGGTATCCAGCCATTGTTCGCACTAGACTGACAGTTTTGTAGCCACTTTTTTACGATTTAATTATTTATTTAAATACCCTTTTCTCCACTTTAATGCGAGACATGAGTTTCTCTGTACATTTTCATACAGAATCCTTATCAGTTGTTCTTAATGGTGTACTGAGTAACCTAAGGTGTTTCGATTTATTTTTTTGAGCATGTGAGACAAGTCATTAGCGGTTCCCTCATTATCTCTCCAGACAAGTTCTGTAAGAAGGTGAAACATAAATTACTTTTCTGTATCTTCCAAGGCCAAATAGTGTCTTCACGTTTATTAGATCTTCACAGAGACTTCGCTTAATCAGATTTTAATTCACTTTACTTTGGGTTTTCCAGAAACTTTGTTTAGCTAGGTCTACCTGAATTAAAAAGGCTCAAATTAAAATCTCTTCCATGTTTATGAAAGGTCCAAGGCACTAAAACATTTTGACAGTCATTCTATAGTTTCTAGCTGTTCGGTTTGTAGCTCTACAATCTGGAAGTGAACAGTTCCCTTCTGGGATTTCTAAATAGCTTTGCAAAAGCGGTTTTAGATTTAAGAATAAAATGAGGTTCGTGACTTCAACGTTTTGTTCCACAGTATAAATTACACACAGTGACACCTCAAATGTGAAACCGGTACGTGCTTTAAATTGTTAATGTAAACATGCTAACAAGTTGCCACAGGGTACTTAGCGAGAGCAGGCAACACAGAATGAATAAGGTGGTGTTCACACGGGACATTTTCTGTAGGCTAGTGATAGGCTTATGATTAATGATATGGACATAATATATTTACTTCTTGCTGAAAAATAAATGCTTAAACTAGCCTATGTCGGTCTTTAGCTTTTCTAGCTAATCTTCCAACTAAGTCAAGTTGGTGTTTAGTTAGACAGCTGGTCATCCAGGATAATAAGTGCCCAAAACCTCTCTAAACCCAGCTAACAGACAAGCCTGAGAGACCAACTAAGACCAGGAAACCAGTTTAGGCTGATTTAAGATGTTTTCAGCTGGTTTATTGAGTAAAAAAATGCTATGTTTTTTATTTAGCGTCATTTGGACCATTTTTTTAAGCAAATATCCACATACATTAGATTAAGTATACAAGCCCGAGAGACCATCTAAGACCAGGAAACCAGTTTAGGCTGGTTTAAGATGTGTTCAGCTGGTTTTTCGGGCACAATAATGCAATGTCTTTGAATTAGTTTATTTGGGGCAAATATCCAGTTTACCTGCCATTAATTTGGTTAATTAAACTTCATATTATGTAATATTGACATGATTGCCATCCCTAGTATATTATGTCACAAATTGAAATAGGTCTTTTTTTTTTCCTAAAAAGTTCCTCTCATAAAACAGCCTCCAGCTTTTTTAAAGTGGCAAATGCTCCACTTTCTAACCTCTAACTTTTGAAGTTCAGCATCACAGATCAATTCTCTCACACACACACACACACACACACACACACACTTACCCACAAACACAAATACAATTCTACCTGAGCCCAACTCACAAGGGTAATAAAAAATTCTTAGTCTGTCTCAATCAGAACAAAATGATGCATCTTAAACATGATTAATTCAGTCTAGAGGGAAGCAAAGCAATAATCAATGGCCATTTGGAAGCATCTTTTCACATCGCAATCCCATTTTCAGCGGAATAACGGTAATGCAATATAATTTGAATGAGTGCTGATTCATCACGCCACCCCAGGCCACAATCAATCGATTAATGATCACATTTACGACCCTCTTTACCTAGAGATGACATTATAGAGAATTTTCCAAAGTGTGAAACTTGATTATGTAATGTGATAATGCGATTATGTAATAGATGTTGCTTTCTACCTGAGACCTTGCAAGTGAACTTTGCCTTGGGGTCGCACATTCTCTTGGCTCCCTCACAGGCGAATTCATCGCTACCGTCCTCGCAGTCTTTGTCTCCGTCGCAGCGCCATATTTCAGGAACGCAGGTTCCGTCGCCACGGCAGTGGAACTCTTTCTCACTGCAGTCGGTAAAGGCGGAGAGCACTGATGGAGGAAAAGAGTCTTTAAAGTTTTGTGGTTACAAATGTTGACATTTTGAAGGTGGAAGATGTCAGTTTTAGGTCAATGTTTCTGTGTGTTTGTGTTTTGTGCGATCATGAGCACCTGTCCTGGAGCAGGTGGCGTTCTCGTCGCTGAGGTCACCGCAGTCATTGTCCCCGTCACACATCCAGTGCTCAGGGATGCACTTCCCGCTGGAGCACTGAAACTGAGCCACAGAACAGGCGTGAACGCAGCCCACCTCATCACTGCCGTCCCCACAGTCATCCTCTAGAGACAGAGAGAGAGGATGGATGGATGGATGGATGGATGAAGGAACGGAAGGAAATAAAGAAAGAAGGATAGATTGAAAAGGAGAAAGGAATTAAGAAAAGAAGAAAGGAAGGACGAATGGACGAAAGGAAACAATAAAGAAGGAAAGAAGCAAGTTTACACGGAAGAAAGGAAGGAAGGAAAGAAGGAAGGAATGTAAGAATGATGGATGAAAGGCATGAATCAATGAAGAAAGAGTAGGTAGATAAAATTAAAAGAAGAATGAAGGATGGAAGGAAGGATTAACAAAAAGAAAGAAAGAAAGAAAGAAAGAAAGAAAGAAAAAAAGAAAGATTGAAAGAAAGAAAGAAAAAGTATATATATTGAAGAAAGGGAGGGAAAAAAGAAGCAGGATAAACACTAAGTGGGATCAAGCACATTACATTACATTTTCTTTTACCAGGAAATAAAGTTCAATATTTCTTTTTCCAGAAGAAGGGAATCATAAAATGTATTTAAAAAAAACATGAAAATCTTTCATTCAATTAGTATCACCTCATTATTATCTAATTATTATTATTATGATAAATGTAAAATCCATTCAGATCGTCATTCACTTTAGCTCACCGGAATCACAGTGCCATTTCACACTGATGCATTTCCCATTAGTACAGCCAAACTGGGTCAGCGGTTCACAAGTTGGGAAGTCTAAGGAGGACACAAAAACAACAACAATCTCAACGCAGTGAAGGGCAAAGGACACCCCCTTCCAACTTCACAAGTCAACGTTGGGCTTATACCAGAAGAAAATGCGAACAGAATAATAAAAGCTTAGATTAGCCTACGACTTCGACTAACAACTTTTGACTGAACTGTTTCTGCTGAACTTTGCACCGTCTGTCTTATCTCTCAAGAGACAGAAGCGCTAACCTGCCTCACACGCCTCTCCAAATAAACCGACAGTGGCGTCTTTGTGGCGTCACACCACCTTTCAAAATTAAACATGCATTAGAAAAGACGCTCCCTGGTTACTGACAGGAAGTATGCGGCAAACTGACATTGAGTCACGATACGGAGCGAGCGAGCAGCCGTGCGACGCCACGTGCTGCGACTTCACGTCGAACGGGGCGACGGTCGACATTTCTCAGATGGCGCGCGGTCGGCTTTCCTGTGCCAGCTTGATTTTGATTTAAGGAAGCCAAGCATAAACTTTAATTACTCTATACGCGGCCCGTGTGTGCGTGAGAACCGAAGCGACCCTGGAACGTTACCCGAGGAAATTTAAACAGTAATAAGATGCGACGACTAACAGAGGAGAAAGCTTCAAACGCACACTTCATCCCTCAGAGGAAGAGAGGTGGAGATCTGCTGGTATTTCTCATCTCTCATTTACACAAGCTGAACGGTGCTGTCGCAGACGATGTGAGCCGTCACAACGGGTTTACGGCAGGATATTCAAGATATTCAAAGCATGGTAATAAGCAGCATAATATCATGCAAAGGTATTCATTGTTTGTTTTTTCAATATATAATGATAAGTTCCTTGACATATCTTTGTGTTTCTGATGAGGAGATCCAAGAATGCCACTCATATTCTTAACGTTTTGGCATTGAGCAAAACAAATACACAAAGTTTCAGCCTTTTTTGTTAAGTATTGGTAATGAATACATGCAAATTTATGCTATAAATGCTTTTTATTGGCATTGATGGTTACATGAAGAATCTTCAATATCCATAGAAAAATTCCATTCTATAAAATGTTCTTTAAAGTTTGAAACAGGTCCTTTAGATTATTCACACCAACAACAACAACAAAAAGAAGTTCAAGAAATGTTCACTGAAAGGTTCGTTGGAGAACCAAAATGGTTCTTCTACTGAATCATTACATTCTCGAAAATTCAGGTTTATTATTCACAATAATGGTTCCATGAAGAACGTTTAACATCAATATTTTCATAAAAGGTTCTTCACATTATTAAAATGTTCTTCACGCTAAGAAAAATGTTTCTTTTAAAAACTGCAATTTTAAAAATAAAGGTTCTTTATTGGCATTGATGGATCCATGAAGAACCTTTAACATCCATGGAATCTTTCCATTCCACAAAGGTTAGGCCAATTTTCATTTGCATTTGGTATTTGGCAAATGATCATTTTGACCCTGGAAATGTGCTGTAGTTGTTTTAACCTTAATTGCACCACCCTGGTTGTGAGGCAATGAATAGAGATTTCATGAAGAATAAAAAGTATTTATTATCCATAAATAGATTGATTCAGAGTTCAAAAGAACAGTTTGAAACAAATATTTTGAACCTTATAAATGTCTTTATAGGCACTATTGATGAATCCTGGTTGAATTTTCTTACAAAAAAAATCTTACTGACCCCAAACTTTTGAACAATAGTGTATATGAAATATAAAAACAATTATTATTTTAACTTTTTAAATCTGTATTTATTGCCACATGCTAATTTTGAGAACTCCCTTTGATGTTTTATTACATTGAAATAAACTTTACCATTACATTTCTTTGAGATACTATGTTGCATGTACTCAACTGACTGGCTGCCACGCAACAAAGAAAGTCTATAACTCTGCTCACTCATTGGATCATTTTCACTTCAGAATGCAGAAAACCATCCAATAGGGTCACAGTTCACATGTGATCATGACAGCAGCAGGTGACCTTCACAGCTCAAATCAAAGCAGTTTGGTGGGAACGGAGTGTGTGACCTCCACATGCACAAAACATCAAAAGATATCAAAGAGCCAACAACAGAGGAAATATGAAAACAGAACAGGCCTTTTTCTTTGTTTGCGTGAGGATGCTACAGAAAACACCAGATCTATGGCATCGTTTTGTCTGGGCTCTCAATAGCTTGTCTATTGTTGTTAAAAGCCTCAGGCCATCAGATTAAACTGAACTCAAAACAGCACATCTGACCTTGTTCTTCCCTTTTGAGAAACTACAATGCACGGTCATTCATGAACAGAAGACGCATTTCTCTGTAAATCATTTGGAAAACAATTGATGCATTCAGTTCAACGATTTTTACATAAACATAAAAGGCAGGATCTTTTTCTGATAAAACCCTTAAGAAATCAAACACAAGCAATAAAGAAATAGTGTGCTTTTTAAATCACGTTTCAATGCAATTAGCCATTAATGACATGCTCAAAGTATATAATAAGATAAAATACTGTACTATGGATTGATAAAAAGCCTCTAATTGAAGTATATGGAGGCTTGACGATGACCAGAAAAATTATGATAGCAAAGATAAAATATGGAAATACAGAGGGAGGAACTTCAAAGTGCTCCGTGAGAGGAAGACTCACCACATGACGAAGACTCATCCGACTGATCCCCGCAGTCATCATCACGGTCACAGCGCCAGTTCTCCGGGATGCAGCGTCCATTCTCACAGGGAAACTGGCCCGGCTGGCAGGTTTGGGCTGTGGGAAGCAAAAAACACTGATATTAAATCACACCTGAATGGATGTGTTCAATCTCTCTCCTGCACCTTGTATAAAACCCATATAAGGTCATCAGGAGTGCTGAAAAAGATTGTTTGCAGCCTTGAAAAATACTTTTTAAAAATGAAATAATGATTTTGATAATTATTTTAGAACGTTTTGAGAAATAAAAATATTATTAAATTATAATAATTCTTAGGGATGCTCTGATCCGCCTTTTTCATCTACGATACCGATTCCGATACCTAGGGTTCAGTATTGGCCGATACCGATACCAGTGAAGTTTTTTTTTTAAATAAATGTAGAATTTATATATCTCTGTGTATGGAACTGATAATCATTATTTCACAATCTACTAAATACAGACTACTTCATTATAAAGAAAAATAAAAAATAAATATGAAAAAAATATATGTATACTCATAATCTATGACAAAAATATATAATAAACTAGGTTAGTGGATAATTCTGTAGCAAAAGTTATTCTAGAAAAATCAGTGCACAATAATTTTAGAAATCCAAACAAAGTGAAAGTCCAAAGTGAAAAAACTATATATTTTGTGGGGAACAAATAAAAGTGTTGCATTAAATATGGTAAAATGTTACACATTGCTAATTGTATTATAAAATCCATTAATAAAAAACATTCATGAATGTATTTATATATAAGTATATACTATGAAATTAAAATACATTTATTTTAAATGTATAGCATATTATTTAATAAGGCAACAACATATGATAGATTCGATTCGACAAAACAAATACAGTACTTTTAACAGTTTTAAATTTCAGTTAATGTGCGTGTTAAAAAAATGTATAGTCTTTTCTACGCCCATGTTTTGTTCTCACAGACACCCGGTAGCAAGTAACAAAACAACATTAAACTCCGGCAAGAAGATAAAGTCCTTTTTGCAAAATCATAGACATTTATTTACAAATCAAGTATAATAATGGGAACACAGAATGATCTTGGAGAGAGCTTTACCAAGCTGACTGTCATAACCGAATGCGACCAGGGTTTAAATGCTGAACGAATGACTGACAGCCACAGCGGAGAAAAGAGTTTGTGAACTTTTATGTAAGGACTTAAATATTCATATGTAGCTCACATTAAAGAGATACGGTTTCTACATGTGTTTACGCTTTGATTTGAATGAAAACAGTGCATCCGTGCAGTGTGGCTGACACAGAAGAGCACACGCTGCTTGCTTGATTCAGTGGATATTCTCTAAAATGGTGCTACAGTGATGCGGAGAGACACAGAGATGACGAATTGTTGAATAAAGTCGTTATTTTAGTTTTCTTCGCGGACAAAAAGTATTCTCGTCGCTTCATAACGTTACGGTTGAACCACTGATGGCAGATGGACTATTCTGACGATGTCTTTCATACTTTTCTGGATCTTGACAGTGTAATTTACTTGGCAGTCAATGTGACAGTCTCAAGCCTCCCGGTTTTCATCCAAAATATCTTAAATTGTGTTCCGAAGACGAACAAAGCTTTTACGGGTTTGGAACAACATGGGGGTAAGTGATTAATGACAAAATTTTCATTTTGGGGTGGAGTAACCCTTTAAGCTATCGTATGGCTTCAGAAGTAACACAAAATAATACGCACTATCTCGCATTTGGATCAGCCTTCTCTGACCGATACCCGATCCAACAGAAAATGGCAGTATCGGAGCCGATACCCGATATGAATATCGGATCGGCGCATCCCTAATAATCCTTATTTTTTATCTATTATATTATTTTTTTAATAAAAGCATGGTTTAAAAGTCTAAGAATCTTGTAGTCTTTATTTAAATGTAATACATATACATTATACATATATATATATA